TCAGGTCATGATCTTATGGGTTGTGGGATTGACTGACTCCCTCCCGCGTGGACTCTGTACTCAGTTCTAAGTCTGCTTTAAGTTTCTCTCTCTCTGCCCCTCCCCCTGCTTGCACATGGGCACTCTCTTTCAAATCAATCAATTTTTTTTAAAGATTTTATTTATTTATTCATGAGAAACACAGGCAGAGGAAGGAGAAGCAGGTTCCAGGCAGGAGCCCAATGCAGAACTTGATCCTGGAACTCCAGGATCATGTCCTAAGCCAAAGGCAGATGCTCAACCACTGAGCTACCCAGGCGTCCCTCAATCAATCAATCTTCAAAAAACAAAAAACACAGGGAGACTTCATGGTGAAATACCTATGAAAAAAAGTAGACCCTGAACTTAAATGTATTTTTTTTTAGTTTTTTTTTTTTAAGATTTTACTTATTTATTCATGAGAGACATAGAGAGGGAGAGAGAGAGAGGCAGAGACATAGACATAGACATAGGTAGAGAGACATAGGTAGACATAGAGAAGCAGGCTCCATGCAAGAAGCCTGATGTGGGACTCAATCCTGGGCATCCGGGATCATACTCTGAGCAGAACGCAGACGCTCAACCACTGAGCCACCCAGGCATACTGACCCTGAACTTAAATTTAAAAGCTCTAGGATATAAAACATTTTTATACCAGTATTCTGCTCATCAGGTGTAACCTATAAAGAGTCTTGAAATGGTTACATAAATGTAAAGTCATAATTCTGTAAATGTGCAATGGTGGTGATGTTAAAGATATAAATGAATTTAAGAACTAGAATTTGGGGGGATCCCTGGGTGGCGCAGCAGTTTGGCGCCTGCCTTTGGCCCAGGGCGCGATCCTGGAGACCCGGGATCGAATCCCACGTTGGGCTTCCGGTGCATGGAGCTTGCTTCTCCCTCTGCCTGTGTCTCTGCCTCTCTCTCTCTCTGTGACTATCATAACTAAATAAAAAAATTTTAAAAAAATTAAAAAAAAAAAAAGAACTAGAGTTTGGGGATGAGGACGTAAGAGAGGCACGGAGAAGGTACACTCTGCTTCAAAACGTGGCCTGTGGCCAAAGATCTGGCTTTAGATGGCATCTCATGCACCCACCTGAATGAGTACCCATTAGGCAAGTGGTGTGCATCAGAAGCACCCAGGGAGCTCTTCAAAAACCTATGGCCTAACCCCTTCCCTTGAGATTCTGATTCCGTAAGTCTAGAGGATCATGGTATGTATGTACATTTTGAAAAAGCTCCCCCTGTGGTGTAGGCAGATTCAGACCACTTTGAATGTCTGTCATTTCTTGGACATATATTTGAATCATTTAAATACTATAAAAATCTTACCCCAACAAAATAAATCTTAATCTTTTAGATATTGAAGTGAATCATTTTAACAAAACTTTTTTTTTTAAGATTTTATTTATTTATTCATGACAGACACACACACACAGAGAGAGAGAGAGAGAGAGGCAGAGACACAAGCAGGCTCCATGCAGGGAGCCTGACGTGGGACTCGATCCTGGGTCTCCAGGATCACGCCCTGGGCTGAAGGCAGGCGCTAAACCGCTGAGCCACCCGGGCTGCCCTATTTTAACAAAACTTAATAAAAATACACTGCTTACTCAAGGCAGAACTACAACTCAGCTATGACTGAAAGGTGGATACCTAATTGTTTTTGACAATTCTAAGGAAAGATGATTCAGAAATTATGATCTAGCACCCACTCTAGAACCAATCTTTTCATCATTTAAAATATTATACTTGACATTAACTGTATAGCCTCAGCCATTATATTTGATCATAAGAGACAAACAGGTAAATGGTAAAAGCATTCCCTCAAATTGCGGGCCATTTAATTGTATTCTGAAAACTTCCCAATTTGTTCACTGTTGTAGTTGGAAGAAAAAAACTGGTTCTGCATATGTCCGACAAGTCATTCTGACAAGCCTAACTCTACAAATACCACAAACTATATCACATATTACAAAACTAATTGTGTCCAGGAATGTAACCATGTTAGAAATATAAATTCTTGGAAATAATGCTTCATTAGGCAGTAATTCTTACTACTGCCTGATAAGTTGCAATATTTGTGAGTTGAACACCTTGCTGCTCTGCTAATGACAGCACTACTCCCATGGCAATGTCCAGGAGCAATGTAATTATCTTTTTTGCATAGATGTTATAAAAGTAAAGTCACAGTTCGTAACACTATATAGTTCAGAATGCTACTTGCCTTCTTGCATGGAATCATTTTTTCCTGCTTGGGTGATAAGTGGTGGACATATTAGTGATCAAGGAGGATGAACTGACATTTTCTATCTCTACAGACAACAGTACTAAGCACTGGGATGGCAATGTTAAAAAAAAAAAAAAATGGAGAGTGCCTGGCTGGCTCAGGCAGTAGAGCATCTCTTGATATTGGGGTTGTGAGTTCAAGCCTCATGTTGGGCATAGAAACTACTTAAAAATAAATAAATAAATAAATAAATTCTTTAAGGAAATAAGTTTTAGAAATCACTAGGAGATCTTGAGGAAGTCAGTCTGATTTTTTTCTTTCCATCTCAAGCAGTAGTAGCACAGCTAGAACAGAATTCCCTTATCTCTGAGCCATTCTGCTGAATATTTTCCAGGTTACTCTTGCTTCAGGAAATTTGGTAGATATGGCCAGCAGAAATCCAGAGGAAATAGATCCTCAAAATTCAGAAAGAGAAAAAAAAAAAAACTCAGAAAGAGCTGACTCATTAATTTCATTTCTAAGAGTTTATTTTTAGGAATAATTCACTGGTATACAGTGTGTGTACCCATGTGTGTAATACACGCACACAGACACACAGACACATATATGTTTATATAAAAAATAAGTCTAGAAAGAGACATAGACCAAAATCTCAAAAGTGGTTTTCTATGAGTGGTGGGATTACAAGTAATTTATAAAAAAATTATTTTTACCTGTATTGTCTAATTTTTCTATAATATATATATAGATTTGTGCAATAATTAGAGAAAGGATTGAGGTATTTCCCAAAACTTTTAAGTACTGGGAAAATTGCTATGATAAACATGAAACTTTTTGAAGCAAACCAAGTAACAGATCATATAATTTTATACTCCAGACTCTGTGAAATAAATTAAAAAATATATATTATATGCCTTTTATTTTTTCCACATTTTCTCCACTCCATAATAATTTTAACACTTCCTTATCTATGTGGAGAAAAACAAATGGTTAATACTTTGGATACTTATATAGTTTTTGCCTCCAGAAGCCAGTATACTTGGCTTCTTTAACACTGATGATTCTGTTTTAAAATTCCATCTATTTCTATCCCTTCTTACCCCAATGTCTAAAATGCTACGCCCAGGGACGCCTGGGTGGCTCAGCAGTTGAGCACCTGCCTTCAGCTCAGGGCGTGATCCTGGAGTCCTGGGATCGAGTCCCACATCGGGCTCTCTGCATGGAGCCTGCTTCTACCTCGGCCTGTGTCTCTGCCTCTCTCTCTGAGACTCTCATGAATAAATAAATAAAATCTTTGAATGAAAAATAAAAAATAAAATAAAATAAAATAAAATAAAATACTACGTCCAGAAGAGTAAAAATTAAGATAACCTCTTTCCTCCATAGCTGATATGAATATAATACATGTATGTATAAAAATGTATATGTGTATATTCATTTACGATTTTTATACAGTTATCATGCACATAACACATAAAGCAAAGAGTTTAGATACAGAAGCCATCATCTTGACAATATGATTACTAGTTTCAAGGCCTAGAAAATGCAGCTCACCATGTAAAACTATCTCACCACGAGAATTCAAGAATTTTCAAAGCTGATAAAACTTAATGTCAATTCTACTTTGTTTTTTTAAATGAAGCTATAGGTAGGTTGACAGGTTAGAGAAATACTTAATACTAACTGGATTGCTAATAAGCTTACCTTACAGCTTTGAAAAACTCTGATTTCTTGTGTGTTTCAGTGGTGAGCTGCATTTCCTGAGTCTCAGCCGATTTCCCAGCAGAAATTCCAGTCTGATGAAGAATCAGTGAAAGGAAGCCCTCACTGAGAGACACACTGGTATCATTCACTGAGTGGAGATAGTGAAAGAGCAACATATTTCTAAAGGTAATTTAGATTATTAGTATATATGCTTAGATAGTAAATACAGATTTAACTTCCCATGGAGAAGCAATAATTAACTTCCCTTGAAAACCTGACCGCTTTTTCTACAAATAATTTGGTTTTGCCCTACCTACATCTTTGGGATGGTATTCATTCACCGCAGTTCACCCCTTAACTGCCTTTTTATCATTGTTATCACCTCTCAAAGCTGTGAAAATCAAATCTGGAAATCTAATGTAATCTGTATAGCAATATGTTTGTTAAACAAAATGAGCATTTAATACTCTCAAGAAAAACATATTTTCTTTTTTTTCTTTCTCTCTCTCTTTCTTCCTTTCAGCTCCATGCCCAACATGGGGCTCAAACTCACAACCCTGAGATCAAGAGTCTAATGCTCCACTGACTGAGCCAGCGAGGCGCCGCAAGAAAACATGTTTTCTAAAATGTCTTTAACAAACCAGTTCACAAGGAATCAATTTTCTGAATACAGTTCTAGCAACCATGTCTTAGTAAGTAATGTAACTTTTCTTCTAAAGTATTTGGAAACATATACTTTTCAATGGTAATTCTGAATTGTAAGGCTTATCATATTTGTGCCCAACATAGTGCCATCAACACAGTATCAGTAGCTACATGTACCTTTCTAAGCTTAAAATTAAGTTAACTGAAATAAAAATAAAACATTTAGTTCCTGAGTTGCACCAGCAACATTCTAAGTATACAATAGCTACTTGTGGCTAGTGGCTACTGTACTGGGTAGCACAGATCGAGATTTTTTTTATATCACTGCAAAAAATTCTATTGGATAGCACAGTTCTGAATAAAGCATCTAAAGAGAGGGATAGTTATTATAGTGAAAAGAGTTTACCTGGTCTGAGGAGGTGTGGGTGTGTAAAGGGGCTGGGCTGGCCTAAGTACCGGTTTGGAATTCTCTTCTCTGGGATGGGCTGGAGGGAGAACCTTCGCTGAGAACATGACATGCATCCTGAAGGAAAAATAAAAGAAAGTGAAATGGAACAGTAATCTAGAAAGTCCTCAGAGTATATATACATTTATCTATCTCCAGCAGTTGGGATGCTTTAGAAAAGTGCATTTTAGTACCTCCTTCAAAATTTATATGGCCCTTCCTCTGCCTGTGTTGGGCCCTAGGAATAAGGAAATGAGATCATTTTTACCCTTAGCAACTTCAGTCTACTGCAGTATAATAGAGGTATATACACATAAAGTATGACTGTGATATGAATAAGGAACTAGGGGAACAGAAGAAAGGCAACAACAAAAGCAAGGAAGGGGTTAGGGTATATTAAGAGATAGTATAAAGTTGTGTCCTAAAATTCAGAAAAAGAGAACTAACATTTTTATTGACAATATGTGAAGTATGAGAAAATATGCACATGCTATCTCATTTAAACCTGGAAATGTTAAGAGTTAGGTTAAATAATGTATGAAAAATGCTTAATGATGGTATGCAACAAACACCATTTTAGTATTCATTCAACAAGATTTAAGCATGTGACTGGAACACATCCAAGAAAAAGACATAAGAATGAAGACTATTTGCTGTGGCCTTTTTTTTTTTTTTAGATTTTATTTTATTTATTCATGAGAGACAGAGAGAGAGAGAGAGAGAGAGAGAGAGAGAGAGGCAGAGACACAGGCAGAGAGAAAAGCAGGCTCCATGCAGGTAGCCCGATGTGGGATTCGATCCCAGGACTCCAGGATTATGCCCTGGGCCAAAGGCAGGCGCTAAACCGCTGCACCACCCAGGGATCCCTGTGGCCTTTAAAGAATATACGGTCTAGTGGAGGTAAGACAAAATGACATTATAACACTATATGGTGAATGCCATGGTGGATTCATTCACAAGGCTTTTTGAGAGCACAGAGACTAATAAAATGTTGTAGGATGGGTATAAAGAAAAAGAGAGGCACACAGAGCACTGGGGAACACAAAAAGGTGTTGGTGTAGGACTGTAGAAGTTGAGGATGTCTACTCTGAGAAGAATTAGACAAGCGAAGGACATCTGACTGGCTGTTGGTAGAACATGCGACTCAATCTCCAGGCTGTAATTAAGAGCCCCATGTTGGGTACAGAGATTACTAAAAGATAAAATCTTAAAAAAAAAAAAAAGTCAAGTGAAAGAGAAATGGGGTGGAAGGTGTCATGAATGAGATCATGAAAGGGAAGGCATAGAAAGTACTGTGTGTGTTTGCATGTGTGTGCATCTGTGTCTGTCTGCATGTAGTAGAGGGAAGGGAGAATTTCAGGTCAATGTTGCTGGAGGAAGATGAAATTTATTTATTCATGAGACACACACAGAGAGAGAGAGAGAGAGAGAGAGAGAGAGAGAGAGAGAGAGAGGCAAAGACACAGGCAGAGGGAGAAGCAGGCTCCATGCACTGGGAGCCTGACGTGAGATTCGATCCTGGGTCTCCAGGATCGCGCCCTGGACCAAAGGCAGGTGCCAAACCACTGCGCCACCCAGGGATACCGATGAGCTAGAAGTCTTAACTGAAGGTTATTGAAAAAAATTGTGGCTTCTTGGATAATTAAGACAAAATGATAAAGGTTTCTAGGCAGAATGAAAATACAGTTCAGAAGAGTGAAAAAAGAGAAAAAGGAAAAACAAGTATTTCCTGCAATTTAGCTTTAGAAAATGTACAGAATACACCTTAGGGAATATGCCCAGTCTATATACACTGAAAGCTTAACAAAGATAAGGCAAGCAATTTACAGAAATGGAGGAACTTGCTAGAAGACAATATAAAGATGCAATCAACAAAGTCCTGACATGAGAAACACTACAGGACAAACAACTCTGTTTCTTCCACATAAACTTTATGGCAGGTAGGGGTGGTAAGAGATAGAGGAGGAATCTGTATATTAAGAAAATCTTAAAACCTTTATCAACCTTTTGTAATATGTGAATCTTACTTATATGGATCCTGATTCAAGCAACAAATTTTAAAACAAGTATTCCCTCACAGTTTATTACATTTATGAAAAAATTGGAAATTGGATAATAATTGCATATTTGACAGTATTATGGAAGTAATGTTTACTTCTTTAAGGTGGGGTAATAGTGTTGTGGTTGTGTCAAAGAGGAAGAATCTTACCTTTTAGAGCTATAAACTGAAATATTTACAGATGAAGTGATATAAACAGATTTTTCACAAAATAACACAGGAGTGTGTGTGGATTGGGGAGAGAGGATAAAAGAAGATTTGGATGAAAAAAGACTGGCCATGAGTTGATGACTGTTTGTACACGTTTGAAATTTTCATAAGAAGTAAAAAAAAAAATATGAGTTAAGCATAGAGAAAAATGAAGGAAGTAAGTATGCACTCAGAAAGGCAATCTAAGACAAAGAGTTAAAGGTAGCATAGTATAGCAGAAAAAAGTGCCAGTTCTATGATCTACATGATCTTGACCAGTTACATAATTCCTTTGCACGATTTCTTTACCTGTGAAATAAGTTATATTATAGTGGCTTTCAAACTTTTAAAACCAAGATCCACAGTAAGAAATATATTTTACATGGTAACCTAGTATACACAGAAGTATAAATACGATATGGATAAAAATTTCACTAGGGGCACCTGGATGGTTCAGTCGGCTTGAGTGTCTGACTCTTGATTTCGGCTCAGGTTGTGATCTCAGGATCATGGGATTGAGCTCTGCATCTGGCTGGCTCCCCACTTGGTGCAAAGTCTGCTTGTCCCTCTCCCTCTGTTTCACCTCCTACTCTCTCTCTCAAATACATAAAATCTTTTTTAAAAAATTACAATACTATCCTAATATTTGTCTGCCTTATTCCATTAAAAAGTTTCTGCAATTTCAGTAATCTGCAGTAATACGACTACTGCAATTTCTTGAATGGTGGCCCCCAAAAGATATGTCCATGTCTTAATCTCCAGAACCTGTGACAGTTAATTTATTTGGAAAAGGGGTCTTTGCAGATGTAATTAAGGATCCTGAAATGAGGAGATCATCCTGGTCACCTGGGTAGGCCCTCAATTCAATGACAAATGCTCTTATAAGAGAAATGCAGAGAGATTTGAAACAGACTAGAAAACAGAAGAGGAGGAAGTAATGGGACCATGGAGGCAGCGATTAGAGTGATGTGGCCACAGTCCAAAGAACACCCGCTACTAGAAACTAAAGAGGTAAAGAAAAGATTCTTTCTTAGAGCCTTTGGAAGGAATACAGCTCTGCTGACACTTGGTTTCAGACCTCTGGCCTCCAGAACTGTAAGAGAATTCTATTATCTTAAGCCACTATGTTTGTGGTGATTTGTTATGGCAGCCTCAGGAAACTAATACCATGACCTACTACGATTACAACTTGCCATTGGAAAACACTGCACTAAAACACTCTCTGTACTGAGGGAAGCTCTAGTTTGGAAGAGAGATGCGAGGATGCTCAATAATTTTTAAGACCATAAAGGGATCCTGAGACCAACCTCTGTCTCAACGAAACATCAGCTATAGTTACTTGCAAATATCTGCAGAAATGACCATCTCCAACGCATAGTAGTCTTTCCCCCCTTTTTAAAAAATTTATTTGATCTTTGACATTATTTTTTTTTCAAGATTTTGAGAGAGACATAGCACGTAAAAGAGATAGCAAGAGAGAGCATAAGCACGGAGAAAGAGAAAAGCAGGTTCCCTGTGAGCAGAGAGCCTGACATGGGGCTTGATCCTAGAACCCTGAAATCATGACCTGAGCTGAAGGCAGATGTTTAGCCAACAGAGCTACCCAGGTACCCCTGTCATTTGTGTTTTTGAAAATAGTGAAGGCATGAGGAAGAGACGATAATGGGTTGTCCGTGTAAAGGATCATGTTGGTGGAGTGACTGGGATGCAGTGTTATGACAAAAAGGAATACAATTTGGAGTTCAGCAGAACTACCTGAGCTTTTTTCACCTGTAAGTAAACTCTTCAAAGCTTACACAATATAGGATGCAGCACCGTTTTTCCTTATTACAACAAATTAGTAGAGGCATGGTATATTTAATATTTTCAAATCCCAGCATCTTTTTTTTTTTAAGATGAGATAGAGAGGCGGAGACACAGGCAGAGGGAGAAGCAGGCTCCATGCAGGAAGCCTGACATGGGACCGATCCCAGGTCTCCAGGATCATGCTCTGGGTTGAAGGCAGCACTAAACCACTGGGCCACTGGGCCTGCCCCAAATCCCAGCATCTTTGATGATATAGATTTATAGAAAAAAGCCTTCCTCCCACATCTGTCCCAAAGTCACCCTGTACCCCTTCCTTGAGACATCCAGTCTCACCACTTTTTTGTTGAAATCACATCTATTTATTGGTATCCTCTTCTTTAGACAAATAGTAGCATGTTATGTTTGAGGTAGATGTTATTATAATACTGCCCATTTAAAGATGAAAAAAAAGATACATAGGAAGGTTAAGAAACTTGCCCAAGATGAATAATTACTGCAGACAGAACTAGGATTTGAACAATCTATTTGTAGAGCCCATAACCACTGGACTATCCTATTTGGCAGTAAAATAACTGAATGTAAAAAGTTAACCAATTCTCCCTCTCTTTTTTTAATGTTCAAATGCAAAAATACTAGAATACCCAATCCTTCTATTTTGGACCACTTCTTACCATAGTAACCTTAAATCTGACAGATGCAAATAAACAATACTTTCACCTACATTTAAGTAAACAGAATTTTTTTTGCCCAATATCACATAATTACTTGGTAGCAAAACTGGTATGTCAAGTCCTATTTCTAAGATCCAATTCGATTCAAAGTAAGACCATTTCCTTAATATAGACCCTCCTCAATTCACCTGACTACATCTCCTAAATGGTCTGCCTTTCTTGGATCTTACCTTTCTTCTTTAATTCATCCTCTACAGCTATACTATTTCCAAAGTGATCCCTTCAGTCCTTTGCTTCAGTGTCCTCAAAGGTGTTGTCAACCAACTCAGGGTGTTTTTTGTTTTTAGAAGATT